AAGGCAGTAGGAACTCTAGCTCAGCATATCTGTCTGGAAATATCCTAACTTCAACATTTTTTTTTAACGGGTCCATTTTGGTTTAGTCAGTTCCTGGGTTCAAAATTCCTTAATGTTGATGTTAAATCCTGGAAATTTCTGGGAAGCAAATAAAATGACAATAAACAAATAATCATCAAAAGCAGTGCAGAATCATGATGGACACTCTGTACCTGAAAGAAGGTTACATTTGCTTTGGGAAGGGACAGAGGAAGGGAGGAAAAAATGTGAGCAAGCGCTTTTGCAAATTTACTGAATCAAATGACGAATCACTTTTCCCAGCAAACAAACATTGGCTCAAAGCGTATAATTTTCCTCAGTGCTTTTTAGATGCTAAATGCAGTAGCATGGTTCTCTGAATCTCTGCTAAGGGACCAAGGTATATCCCTTGCTCAAGATCACACTAAAGCAGTCTCTTTCTATGGTTTCTATCCAAGGACTTCTTTTAGACCCTACTCTTCCCTTCCCCTGACACTGGACACATGAGACAAATACCCAAGGAGTCCATGCCCTGATGCTACGAACAGACTGTGATGATGCAGAGGAAACCCATGTCGGCTATTTCAGACAGTCCTTTCACCATGCACCCTCCCCACAAGCCACATTAGAGGCACTCAGGGATTTCTCCTATGCTGATCCTCAAACTTCCCTTGGCCACCTTGCAGCTTTTCCCTCTCTTCTGGTTGCCCCCCCACCCCCATCACAGTCTATGATAAACAGGGGATGGACCCTCATACTCTTGCTCAGAAATCCCTCACTCCATAAGGGACCTACAGGGTCCCCAAGGGACAAAGGGTGAGCAGTGCAGGAGCAGGAATCTGTGACCTTGAAGACGCTTCAGAAAAAATCTTCTCTGCCCATTTTAGCTTTTTTAAAGCATAAGCACTGAAGATCAGAGACTACCCCTAATGTTTATAATGGGCACCATATTGAGCACAATGATGGGCTATCCCTGGTGCAGGGCCAAGGCACTGCTGCATACGTGGTAATCTCTCTCCCCACACATACCATGTTTGAACATATAACCAATGTTAGCAAAGGTAAAGCATTCCAGATTCTGCACCACCACAATTCACACCATCTGGATCATCCTAATTCAGTTTCTTTTTGCATCTGTATAGTATTATGCATTACGATCAGAACAAGGTGAAATCTTTAGCCTAAACATTAATTAATTAAAAACACATATTCAGCAACAGCAAATGGTTTCATGACTTCCTGTTCCACTCAATTGCTTGTGTGAAGGAAAAGCACCAAACAATGACAAAATTTGTTCTGAACATTTTTAAAGAAGCATCTCAGTTTTTAAAATCTGACATAACTCTTCAAGGAGAATTTCCCTTTGACTGACCTTTAGAAAAGCCCAACTACAGAAAATACTTTGTTCAGTCTAAAATAGAACTTCTCTTCCATTTCTCAAAACTGTGGGTGAGAAAAAAGGCCAGTTAATTGCAGAGCTCCTGCTGTATCTGGTACCTCCAGCCCCACCTCTAATAATGCTTGAAGTACCACATGCAAAATCGCTGTTACAAATTGTACACATTTCAATGGATGCAGACTGAGGGCCTGGGGATGAAAAAACAGCCTGAAACCATCTCCACCTGATGCAAAGCCGCAACTACTGCAGAGTTAGGAAAAGTGACATTTCAAATGTCTTGGTGCTACTAATCTACCTTCCCCTTGAGGGACTCCCATATTAAATCATCTCACTTTACAAGTCAAAATAAGTTGTTTCTGACTGTCATCACTGACTATTGCTGTCTAAAAACCAAGCTGTTTTCTCTCTACTTTATACATTACCCCCAGATACAAAGTCTCCAAACTCTGAAAGTAATTGGCAATTCTCTTGACAATGCACAAGGTAAAACAGAACCAGCATGTTGCTCAATTGCTCAATTGGCTCTGGAACAATGACAGCAGTTATAATTGCTATCTACCACTTAAGTAACCAGACACTATATGACTCAGAAAATAGAGTCTAAGAGATTATTAGGACCAAGATGCCAGTTTTGTCACAGGTAGATTTCCAGCCAAATTTTTTAATGTTGGAGGGAGCTAATGGTGGAGGCTGAGAAAAATACAGACATAGGTTAAACTGGCCATGCTCTGTCTGCAGAATGCAACTATGCCCACTCTCTGGGAGACATATTCAGGTAGGAAACAGTCACCCTTGGGAAAATTATAGGTATCTCTTTGCTGAGTAGTTTCGGTTGCTTAAACACCTGGGATCATGCATCCTTACAGTTAGCATTGCAATGACCTAAGAACAAAGAGTTGATGAACATTTCTGCAGGGGTGAAATGTGCCCAACTGAAAAACTTCAGGAATGGGGCAGTTTGGCTCCTAACACTGCAGCCTTCCTTCTTCCTCCCCAGGAACCAACTCCCAGAGGCAACTGGAGGCAGTACTGACCTTTCAGGATACTTGAAATGCAAAAATAGTTTTATTTACTTCCTGACCCTTGGCTCAGAACATGTGCAGCTCTATAAAAGAAAAACAACCACTGTTATTTAGCAACTTCTTCTGCTCCTGCTTCATTCTGCCATGAGACTTGGGCCACGCTTTGATGTCACCAGGACACAGGGTGGGTGTCGTGGTGACATTTGAGAACATCTGGTTGGGCTTCCCAGGCAGTTGACACCATTGCCTTTTTTCTTGCATCTTGTCTATCAGGATGAAGCCTGGCTGGTCAGGAAATGGCTACTGGTGGAAATTATGATCAAACAGAGAAAAAAAAAAGAAAATGGAGCCTTCTTTAGCACTGACATGCTGGGTTTCTATTCCAGATGAGCCAGCTGAGTCAGCAGTCTCAACTTTTATCCCTTGAATACATTGTAGAAAAGCAGCTGGTGATGTTGCCTTAACCTCTATAATAGAAGAAAAGGCTTTTCAATGTTTGTGTCGTGAACCCTTGGCCACAAGCATATGGTTTAATGTTTTCGAGGAGAGCTCTGGCAAAGCCAATGGCATCTCATCCCACTCCTTCCTTAAAAAAACTCTGAAAAATTGTTGGAAGTGATTGGTTTCAGTAAATTTGGTGAGGTAATGCTGTAAAATGTGTAGTGATTGCTGGAAAAAAAAAATCTTCTAAAGGAAAGTCCTGGGAAGGAGATGACATCTGCAAATTTTTGAAATTGATTTAATGAAAACTTTCATTCACCAGCTTAGTCTTCATGGATTCACCAAAATGGAAGGTGACTCTCCAACACTTGCTTCACCTGATAAACTTCAAACACCAGCAGTATCTTCTGTGTTTGGCAAGGTACGTTGGTCCCTTTGCACATTAAATAACTTTCAGGATATTCCAGTAGGATAGATGTTCATCCCACACTGTGGTGCCTACTAGTGGTATATGGGTTTCCAAGTCAGTTTGTATGCTTTTGAAATCCTACGCATCTGTGCTGCTCCCAAATGGTAAAAACACCAGGGCGGTTAGTACTTAACAGAACTGTATCATAACATTTTATTCCAGTTTATTCATCTTTAAAATGCCCATGAGAGTAATTTCTAAAATCCATGTTTGTCTTTTGTGAGTCTAATGCTTAATTATCATATATTTGTCTTTCTCAGTCTGAAAATGGTGACAACTAACTCCCATCCTTTGCATTTTTACTTATTCTTCTACTAACCCCTTATTTCAAGAGAGATTATTCCCACCTGCTACAGTCCTGTAAGCAAAGCACTGGTGTTAAAAAACACACCACCAGCTGCATTCTCACTGGACCCAGACTTGAAGAAAGGCCACCTGAGGAGAAGCCCAGATGTTCAGCCAGCAGTAGGAGCTGCTTCTGCAGAGGAGAATGATCCCTTCATAGCAGCTCCACAGAGGACACCCAAACATCTGCACCCAGCACCTCCACACCTTCCAAGCTATGTGATAAAGCATCCACACAGATTGGAAGTGCCTGTACCTCCGCACACACAATTTCTCTGACACTTTCAGGCCCTGCTGCAGCAGTGGGTAGTGAGAAGTTCAAGCCTCAGGCCCCATCCCTAACACCACAACACTATAGCCATAGCCTTGTTGATGTCCAGGCTGAAGCTTCTGCTCCATCTGATACTTCACCACTTGTCTTTCCATTCAGGCATCCACACTTAGCAGCTGTGCAGGCTCCCTGGGCTAGCCTGCTTCCCTTCTGTGAGCCACAGCTTTCAACATCCACACTTGCCAAGGCCACCGCGCTGCCAAGCTCCAGCATACCCTCATTGCCCTACTTGCATCTGCCATCCAAATAAATCTTTCTTAATTGTCTTGTCCTGTCTCTACAGTCTCACAGTTACTATCTCTACACCCTGAGGGTTCTCCTGCCCAGAGATGAACTGGTTTGCTCCAGCCCAGGGAAGCCAAAGGCCCGAGGCACTGGCAGTGTGCTCAGCAAAACCCAGGAACAGAGGAACACATGGTAAATCCAGTAGCTGCACCAGCAGAAAATGATACATAGCAATGCTGTACAACACAGTCTGACCATGGAAAGATTCCCTAAACTAGTTCCTAGGATAAAAGAGCTAAGTATGTGATTCCACCTCCCAATTTAAACATCCATATGCCAGATGATGACAATTGCCTACTAAGCTGCAACTGGGAATCAACAGACAAATGTACTTCATCTCATGCCTTGTCCCAATTACTTTAAAATAAGTATTGCTTTTCAGGTTTGCACGAAGCCCTCCAGAAGCAGATCAAAGTGGGAACACTAGTTCTAGTCAGGTTCACAGGTGGAAACAAGCTTTCTACAAAAACGTACTAAATAAAATCATTAATGTTACAGAGGTAATCTTCCCTTCACACATCCCACAGCAAGGATCCTTCCTTGCAGTGTTGCGCTCCCCGTGTTCCCCTTGGGGTCTACTTCCCTGCTTAGCACAGATCTCCTTCCCCAAGCTGAAGCCTTTTAGCCCCTGGCCATCAGCACTCCCACTCAGCAGCAGGGCTGTGAAACACCCCAGGTGGCATAACTCACAATCGGCCTCTTCCATTGTATTTGCCGCAGCTTATCCTCTGGGAGCAGGTTGGGACCGATGGAGCTGATGTGAGCGGGGAAGGTGGCATCCTCAAAAAGCAGTCCTTGGCTCAGACATGAGGCTCGCAGGCGGTTGAAGTCCTGGTTATTAAATTTCTTCACATTCTGGAGGCTTCCCATTGCCCCTGTCATTTGCCAGCCCTGCTCCAAAGCCATTGTGCCCCTTTCCTGTGAAGGAGAGACATTGACTGCCATTAGTTTCCTGATCTGAAGTGGTGCCTTGGGAGTGTGTGGGAAAGCAACCACCTCTGCTCACCACCCCCACCCCTCCCCAAGAGGATTGCGGAGCAGCAGCTTGCAAAGCTGAGGGCAGTCACAGTGACAAAATCCTTATTAGCTGGAAATGCCTGGGGGAAGAGTAGCCGTCAAATCCCAACTGGTTTATCTTAAACCAGTGCTGTCACTGCTACAAATTCAATTTTGAGTCTTCCCTGAGGACAGAGAGCAAAGCTGTTAGTGAGCCGCTGTGTTAGCATTGAGATATATCTGTAACACAGGGGAGCGTAGGGGATGGAGCAGGAGCTGCAGACGCAGGGCAGGAGGGAGGTGGTGTGAGCAGGGAGGCTGCTCAGAGGTACCCAGGACGCTTCTGGCCTTGGATCACACCTGTGCCCATGGAATTTTCTGAGTTATTTCATTTCTACAAGTGAGAGCTTGACAGTCACTCCTTGTGACACCTAAAGAAGGCAGAGACTTGCCTTTCCTTGGGATCTGCTCCAAAGACCCCAGAGAGATTAGGGGGGGTGGCTTCCTACCAGTTTACACAGATGCTCCACCAGACTCCCTTAAGCCACAGTGCTGAGGTGGGACCAAGCTGCAACATGCAGAGCTGGATCCCACCTGCACTACTTGCTCACATGAGTGTGCATCAAGGTCTGGGGTTTTCGGACTCAGTAGTTCATTTGGAGGTCAGTGTTTAAACAAATCTGAATTGTAGATTCAGATTTAAACTGGGAAGTTATTGCGTGGCATCTGTAGCTGTTCCAGTCTGGAGCACGTTTGAACCCCTCTTTGTTAACTTGTCTAAAGGAAAGGGGCGATTCACTTCGGAAAAGTGAACATTTCACACACACAGTGAAACACTAGAATGGACAGATCTGCTAATGCATCATGCTGGCACAGATAGGGAAGAATGCAGGAGATAAAATGTCCCATTGTGAACCCTGTTCCCTTTACGGTCATCAAAGAGGACAGCAGAACTCTTGCCATCAAAGATCTACTTTTGTTCCAAAGGGAGGCTGTGTATCATCCATGGAGATGCTGGACTGTGAGGTGGGAGGGTTTTTGGGACATGAGTGGAAGAAGGGAACAAGAAGGCAGAAAACTTGCATGTTTGGATGAGCAGTGGCACCAGAGCTTTAAAAGAGCAATTTGTTCTGCCTGACCAGAGTAGGGGCTTTCATGTGCACTCCTCAGAGCTGCATGGATGTAGAGAGGGACACATGTGTGCATCATCTCCTGGGGATCTTCCTTCAGCTAAAAAGCTCTGTTGTGGATTTCAGAGTTCAGACATGTAGCAGGAAGGCTGTGCAGCTTGCCTTGCCTCCTGGCTCCTCCAGCACCTTTTGTCACACAAAATTACGTGTTGATGGATCAAAACATAACTCAAGGCCTATGCTAGTTTTCATGCTTCATTCACACTTGCTCTCACAAAACCAAATTTTTAACTGTCTTGATCCATAACTCCCCTTTTGTTCCTTTCCTTATGAAGAGAGAAGACCCTGGTGAAGCCTTGTATTAGCAGACTTTTAGGGGCAAGAAGGATTGCTGTGATCACCTCCGGCTTCTTGCATGACAGATGCCACTGCACTTGACCCAGTGATTCCTGCTCCTAGCTCCTGGCTTCCACTTAAGATGTACTTTTTAATGAATTAGCACTGGAAAATCCACTACAAGCTCTGGGCAAGCCACTCCTACAGTTAATTAACTTTGCTGTGCTAATTTCTAGCCTGAAGTCACTTAGTTTCACTTTCAAGCCACTGGATGCTATAGCTTTCTTTTTTTTTTTTTTTTTAATTTATTTTTTATTTTTAGTAGACAAAAGGGTTCTTTCCTACCAAACAAACTTATCTGTGGATCTGATATGTTCCTGGTGCAGTACAAATAGAGCAGATGGCTCCATTAAGAGCAAAGTCTCAGATTTTTATTTTGGATCATTCACACATGTGAAAAACACAGGCCAGCCACACTGAAGGTGTGATACAGCCCCCTCACACACACACATCACTCTTTACTTAGTGTCATCACCTTTCTTGGTGCTTCAAGTTACTTTGCCTTCTGGCATTGTAACAACAGCCTAGAAAAATAAGGATTTTTGCATCTCCTTGTTTTAATTAAAAGCCCCACAAAAAAATCAGATGGAATTCAGAAATCACCCTCAGCCAACAAGATGAGAGAACATTCCCCTTGGGCTTGCATTTTTTAATACAATGGAAATAAATCTCATGTAATGTACCATAACACGACAAGGGAATGGCTTCTTCTTAACAAATACTCATTTGAAACTGTGCCCAGGCCCCATGCATGCTAAGATCTATTTCTTGCAACAGTGTTCCAGCAAAACTGATTACTAATTCTAAAACTCAAATTAAAACTAACAGAGCTTGAAGGCTGGGTCTGACACGCGTTCCCTCTCTTCTGACAGAGAACAAGAGTTTTTAGCATGTGTGTGTGTGTGTTTAATTATGTTGCTTAACATATCCGGAATAAATTAGCAACCAGACTGAAGAAAATAATACACTTAACTACATTTCCCTTGCAGGAATAACTTCATCAGCATCGTGTCTGTGGGCATACGTGCACAGATACATGAGCTCTATATCCATCCCTGCCAGTGCTCAGGCAAGGCCATGGGGTCATGCACACCTGGCTAGCACTGCACTGTCTGCACCGCCACGGTGTGACGGCCACCGCTTCTGAAGCAGCACCCTGAACCCTGGCCACAGCACTCTCCTGCTTGGCTCTCATGGGTGTGCCAGCAACAGCAAAGATCACAACAGCTTTTAAAGCAGAATACTGCCTGCCTGATTGGGGAGCTTCTTGCCATTACTGAACTCCGTGGCAAAAAGTCTTTAAAGGGACGAAATTTTAATGCAATGGGTGTCAGAGGTGTTGCCCTTGGACTGCCCCCTGCCAAGTGAGGTAAAGAGAGAGGGAAGGATTTCAAACACTCGTAAAAGCTGGTTCAGACATATTGTAAAACACTGGAGAAAAATAAGAGACTGACTTTCAACTAAGGAAGGAAATTATTATTCAGAAGGGATTAAACATACATTTACTTAGTCCTGGGATATCTTCCAACACATTTGCTTACCTGAAATGGAGAAAGGAATCACACTCAACTTTGCATCTACTACTCTTTTTTGGTTAATCTTCCTTCTCAGGAGAGAAAGATCCTTCTTTTTGCTGTCTGTCTCAGAGGGATTGTGAGATGACAAAAGGTGAGGGAGGGAAGGGGAACAGTGGAAAATCTACAGAGAGAAGGAGAAAAGGTGTGACAGCTGGAAGGCATGGGATGGAAAGGGGAGTCTCTGAGGATATCAGAGCAAAAGGGTTGGTGACCCCCAAAGAAGCAAACCTGGGAACCCCAAGCACCCATCATATTCTGCATTAAACAGCTCAAAAGCCAGCAACAAAGGGTGTGTCTTGTCTCCCTCCAGCACTCATTCATGAAAGATGTCAAACAACTATTATAATCAGGTACTCAGTGGTGGCAAATGCTACTGACAGCTAATTACACTTTGCATAAAGATTTATGTCAGAGTACAGGCATAATTTCCTTCAATGGCTTCTGATATTTTTCACAGAGTAGAAAGTGGAAATAGGCAATTAGAAACATGTGTCTACTTCACAGGTGAACTACCCACCTTCTCCTCTTCACAAGTTTTATCAAAACATTTCCATTAAACGTTGGCCCAGCTAGGTTTCTGTACTTTAGGAAGAGAAGCTGAATTTTCTCAAACACTACATGGAATAGTAGAAAAGCCAAAAAGCCATCAGCCGTTCTTCCCCTATTTCCTCTCAAACACTCCAAATTATCAACGTACATTTCATCTCACCCATAATATTCAATATATGCTACAGTAATGTAAGCACTCTTTCCTCTAAGACCCTGTCATTTATATATTTGGAGCATTGTAAAACCTTCAACTCTTGCCTGCAGTGACAACAAACTGCAGAGGCAGAGCAGGGGCGTGAACTTGGGCATCACAAACCCCAGATGGAAAACAGCTCCTTGTACATGCAATGTGTGAAAGCCTTGAGTACCTCAGAAAATCAAAACTAAAGCCAGGCACCTTGGCAACCCTCCAGGAGATTACTTTACAGTGGCATCTTGCACAACCTTCTGCTCCAAACAGTCTGTGAAGTACTCTGGCTATTTATTAAGTCAATTTTCTCCTCATTTTGCCTACATAGCATAGGACAGTTCCAGATACCTTTTTTCTACCTCATTTAACAGCAGCCTACAGTAACTGTAGAGTCCTCCTCATCTTAGGATCTCCACTCCCACTTGATCCAATTACTTCTGACAATTTACCGTTTTATTATGAAGCTCTTTCTAGGACAGCAAATTCATCATTTCTTTCCCTCCAGGTAACACTAAGGATAGGGACACTAATTTATTCTGTCTCTTCAAGACAAATGCCTCTCAATGTGTCTGTGGGGCTTTTCTAGCACTATTACTTGTATTTCACCTGCTTCATCCTGTACTAAGTAAAACAGCAAAGAGATGTTTTACCTGCAATGCCTCCAGTGTAGCTCTCCAGACAACATCAGAGTGACAGACAGGCTGGCATTATCCCCGTTCTCCTTTATAGGGCAGCTTTCACCACACCTTAAGTAACCATAACAAAGTTGAAGTCAAGTTCAAGGCCAAAAGCAAGCCATCTGACTTGGGCGTAATAGCTTCATATAGACACCGCACCGTGGAAAAATATATACATACTATTATTAGTCCTCCACAATGAATTGTCTATTGACTTATGTCGGTTGATAGTATCCCGTGACTAAGTGTGGCTTTAGTCGCAGTTATTCATATAAGAAAACAGGATTTGTTTGCACTTCCCACACTTTCACATTATCTTTTTTCCTCCTAACACCACCAGGAAATGCAACAATCATCCTGGATCTAGACACAGACTGGCAGGACTCTCACTGAGACAAGTTATCAGAGCTGTGTGTCATTCTTTCTGCAGTAGTAAAAGCAGCAGATACTTTTAGGCCAATACCTGTTAGCATTTA